TTGGAAGCTCGTTTAAGCCTGAATCTAAATCCCTTAATTATTTTTTCTCCTTTTCTCGAGTATTTGAATATTTAATGGATGATTTATGATGATTTTGTGTGGAATCCCTTTTTATGACTATTAGAACAAAAATGAGAGTCTTATTCATTAAACACACGTTTTTTGAGATGATTAAATACTATTTACGTGCAATAACGTTTGGAATATGATGAAATTATAAGAAAGAAAAAGATTTATCACTCACCTACCTATTACTAGGATTCTTAATTACCCTATTTGTCTTCAATACTACAGCCTTACGATGTATAATATTTTTCAAAATATAGCTAATTAAATCTTTCATTATTAATTAACTAAATAAGGCAAGAATAATTTCAGGATAACCATTCCAACATTAACATAACATTCAAAGTATATTCCCAACTTACCCAGACCCAGAGGTCCAGACCCTTACAAAACATACATCCAAACGAACGGAATAGAGCGGAATAGAACAGATCTTGAGTTGAAATCTCTGAAAACACTTCTCAACTAACTACTAAACTAATATAGAAGCTAAAATGAAGAATAAAGGTGGAAAACTTGAAGATGGGATGATATGTGATGCAAATGAAGATGAGAGGTGCTGTTTGTATAGGATCAGACGCAAAGCATCCAACACCAAGCGTCCAAGTCCAAGTGTCCTTATCTGGATGCTTTGGGTGTCTCGGACCATCTGCTTTTTGCACGTGTCATTCTTGGGATGCAATTAAGGTAAAGCGTCCAACTTGAAGCGTCTAAGTTGGTGCCTTAGGCCCCTGGTTTGTTGGGCTTCGTGGCGGGTTCGTAAATTTGGCCCAATTTCAATTCCTTTTAGCCCCGAACGTTGTTTTTGGCCTCCTAGAAGAAGCTAGTTCAAGCCGGAATCTTGATCTTTTGATGATTGATTCCTTTTTGTCAAGTATTTGAACATATAATGAATGATTGATGATGATTTTTAGTGGAATCTCTTTTTATGACTCTCAGAACAAAAATGAGAGTTTAATTCATTGAAAACACATTTTATGAGATGATTAGCTATTATTTACGTGCAATAACGTTTAGAATATTATGAAAATGATAAGAACGAAACGGGCTTATCAAAATCCTCACACTTAAACATTGTTTTCCCTCAAACAACAAGTTGAATAATTACAAGTATGGAGGTAGATAGTAACTACAGAAGAAAAATTTAAGCTACATATTATGAAGGAAAGAAGAAATAACACAGTCATCAATCTTTTGTTAAGAAGAAATGAACTTCTAAATTCTCACCCATCTTGTTAGAATTGTAAAAAGTATTTTGTCAAACAAATATTTTTATACCAACTTAAACAACCAAAACTTTCCAAACTTTTCTTGGGATAATTACATTTGTAAGAGTGAGTTAAGATAAAAAAAAGTCTTTAATGGCTAAACTGGAAAACATGTTCTTGCAAAAGTCTTTGTCAAAATGTAAGGGTTTAATTTTCTTAGTATAACTTTGTCATGTTGACACGAGAAAAATTTCTAACCTCATCCCGAGACATAGAACCACGAGTTTTTTGGACAGTCACTCTAGTAAGTATCATCACACGACATAGAGCTGCATGCTTTTTTATTTTAATCGATCATAGATAAGGCATCATCACGTAATATAAAACCACGTGGTTTTCGGCATACTCATCGAGCCTCATCAATTGACCTAGAACCAACTACTTTTTTGCTTAAACAAGAATCTTGGTCTCACCAAAGTATGCTTTGGAACGTCATCCCTTGTACTTTGAAAATAACTTTCTTAAAACACTATTTTCAATAGAGCCACTAAATACTTATTAATCTTAAACACTCTTAATAAATTGTGAATTTATCCCAAATAAGTTTAGAAAATAATCCCTAAAGATTAGATTAAAAATTAAATATTGACAAAAAGTTTAAAAGTTTCCAATTTTTATGGGTGATTAATTAATCAACAAATAAAATTGATGACTATTCTATAAAAACTTTTCCTACAAATATACAGGCAAAACAACAACAACAACAACCCAGTTAAATCCCACAAGAGTAGGGTCTGGGGAGGGTGTGTGTACGCAGACCTTGCCCCTACTCGAAAGTAGAGAGGCTGTTTCCAAAGAGACCCCCGGCTCAACGTCGAAAGTTGCATTGCTTGACTAATTGCTACTTCATTAATTAAAGAAGCGCAAACAGTTTAGAGATCCATTTTGATTTATTCCATCACACCCCAAAGCCAAAAAATGGTGAAATTTTGGCTCCATCGAAGATGATGGAAAATATACAGTCAAAACAACTCCTAAAGAAATCATTTCAACTAGAAACTCTTACATTCTCACTGCGCCCTCGCGGTTAAGAGTGTTTTGGAATAGGAGTTAATGGTTGAAATGCTCACATGCAATTACTAAGTTATCTCAATACTAAAAAAATCAACCATGAAGATTGAAATAAAAGATAACCATAACATGTAAAAAAGAAATTTTATCAAGAACGATTTTATGATTCATAATGTAAATTTCCAAAATAAAACCAAACAAGCATCCAAAGTAATGTTCAAAATAGTAGAGAAAAGAGAATTCACTGAGGAAGTCAATTTCCTCTCAGAAGCCGACTTCAACCAGGACTGTTGGATCAATGAGCGTCGAACATGGTAGAAACTTTGTGTTTTCCCCAGGTGCAGGACCTCTTCTTCGCTTCCTCTACAAGGTACGCCCTACGGTTCTCCATCTGCAAAATCAAAGACAACAAACAAAATAACTCTTGCCCCCAAATCTGCTGCGGAAAAAATAACCTCAAAAACTTATTTAAATATTTTTATGAATGATGGGTTGCCTCCTATTAAGCTCTTCTTTAACATTTGTAGCTTGACGCTCACCCACTTTTTCCGTGAATTTCAATCTGAGAGTCATAAAGTTTGAGCCTTCTGAATCTCTTCTAATGCCACCTTGTTTGATATTTTGCTCGGTCAAGGTCCAGGATCCTTGACTCATCACTGCGGCTTGGTGGCAACAGAATATAGAGAGGAGACTTTGCATTGATTGGTGGTGGCGGAAGTCTCCTTGATAGATCCACATCATTAGCCTTGATTGCGAGATTGATTTTTTCATTGTCTTAAATGGGTTGACTACATATTTGTGGTTCAATGATTACGACAGTACTTACCCTTGTGGAAGAGTCCTCAGTGTCACTCACAAGAAGCTCGTCTCAACTTGCTTGGCTACAGCTATCCTCTGGGCAAACATAGTTGCACTCGTCAGGTAGAAGTCAGAGAAAGTTTGGTCTAAATCTTCTGATGAGAAATTATTTTCAAAATTTCTATAGACGAAGTTGGCTTTTCCATACATAGTATTTCCTTGTCTATAGATTTCTCCTCAGGCTCTTGAACATTGAAATCTTGGAGGTAGGTAATGGGCTCTATTTCCTTCAGAACAACATCTACAGGTGTGTTTTCAATACAATTAAGGAGATAGTCATTTATTGCCATAGGTAAGACATCCTCCTTTTCCTGGTTAAGTGTAGGTGATTCCGAGTCAAGTCCCACAGTTGGTTCCACCTCATATACGACTTCCCTAGTTGGGACTTGGCTAGGAGGACATTCTGGTAACATCACTGTTAGCCTTGGTTTGCTAAGCATCATGTTTTGATGTTAACAAACAATATAAGAGCTTGACGTTTGTTTAAGTGTTTCAGGTACAACAAGAATCTAATAAGATTCGGTTCTCAAGAATGAAGTCGAAACACTAATTTAGCGTAGAATTTAGGTAGAAACCGATGTAAGGATATGATTTTATATACCTATATTCACAAGCTCAAAAACACTCACAAAATATGTTTAAAACCCTTTTATAATCATTTTCAAACATCCAAAAGATTTTAAACAAAATTGGAAATGATTTGGACAAAAATGAAAACATTGTCAAAATGGTCATAAGGTACCTAGGTACCGAGAGGGGTACCGTGAGTTAGCCTGAGACGGGACCCCCCTACCGTAGCACGGGACCCCCCTACCGTATGGACAGGACCCCCCTACCGTGTATAGGTACCGTGTATAGGTACCTCCAGAGACGCAGAGAATTTTGGCCTGAGAAGGTACCTAGCTACCGTACGGGACCTAGCTACCGTGACAGGGTACCGTTACCGTTGAACACTATTCCTGATTGCTGATTTTTGAATTAATTCAACTCTAATCACCTCCTAACGGCTAATTAACATCTTCCACTATAAATATAGGTCTAATACTTCATATTTCAACAAGAAACAAAGCTCTAAACATCCTCTCTTTTTATTCTAAGTGTGTTCATCCTTCTATCAATTATTTTCAATATTTTGGCTATTTTAAGAGTCTTAAATTCCTAATTTTTATACATACTTTGAGCTTGTGTTTCTAGTTATAAACTCTCATATTCATAAGTTTGAATTATATTTTTGAAAGAGTATACTTTCCTTCTACACCTGCTAAGTTTTGTTCTTCATTTTTATATTCAAGCCGTTGTGTTGAACTCTTGTTTGTATTTTTTCAAACACACCTTCTTATGGTCGAGTATAGCCGTTAAATTCTCACATTGTAACGGTTAAATAGAATTTTTTATAAAAAAACACAAAAAAGTAGGATTATTCAAGATAATTGTAATTTATTTATTGAGATGTAAATAGCAAAACTAATACTCCCTCCATCCTAAAATTAACTTCTCATTTGATTTTTCACGGTCTCCAATACGACACTTTGACCATCAATATCTCAATTTTTATATAAATATATTTTATAAAAATTATATATTTCAAAACTATATTCCAAAATGAATCTATTGCTAATAAATTTATATGAAAATTCAATGTATTTTTTTCTTAATATACGGTCAAAGTTTAAAAAGTTTGACTGCAAAAGTCAAAATGAGAAATTAATTTTAGGACGGAAGGAGTACAAAATCATCTCAAATCATAGTTGAACTAATATTTCATGATCAATAAAAATAAGAGCTAAATACGATATCGATGGATAACACTTGCAATCAAAGGGCCTATAAAAGCGCTAGGAAACAAGCGCGCGCACACCAGACAAGTTATCAACACCGGCCTATGAAAAGCCTAGTACTCAGTTTTGCCGCATACAAACATTTACACTGGTGCCTACTTACAATCCCAACCTCTTAAACATTAAGGAGCTGTTTGTTTCAGTCTCTTAATAGTTCAGATGTCTGAATGATTCAGCACTTAATGGTTCAAACTGTTTGTTTCAGCCTCTTAATGGTTCAGATGTCTGAATGGTTAAGAGATTTGCCTCTGAATGGTTAAATATTATACAAAGTCTGAATGGTTAAGAGCTGTTATCTGAATTGATCAGACATTTGCCTCTAAATAGTTAAGCAATATACTAGCTCTTAATGGTTCAGACCTCTTACTGGTTCAGCACTTAATGATTCAGACCTCTTACTGGTTCAGCACTTAATGATTCAGACCTCTTACTGGTTCAGCACTTACCCATTCAGAAATTGCCAAACAGCCCCTAAGAAAATAAAGTGGTAAAACTAAATTAAACAAAACTACAAGACTCCAGGCAAAATCCAGCAGATTTTTTCATTAGAAATAAAAAAAGAGGGATCAAATAATTAGCAATAGACACGAAAGCAACATTTATTTCAGCCAAATAATTATGCTCCAACTGTGGGAGCCATGGCCGGTCTCACCTTCGGCGGCCTGCCTCTCCCTCTCGGAGGACCGTTATTCGCAGGACGCGGTGCTGCCACCGCAGTGGCGGACTTCGGCGGTCTTCCCCGTTTCCGTCCGGTGCCTACGGAAGCAGAGACTTTCATTGGAGGAATCTCCGGGGCGAGCGGATCGCGCGGCTTGGGAGGGCGGCCACGGGAGCGGGGCACAGGCGGGACATATCCGGGAGGAAGCGGAGCCTTAGGCTTCGGGGGACGTCCCCGACCACGGTGCTGCGGGGCGTTGGGGTCAGGCTTCATGTAGTTGTTCCTTACCAAAAGGAGCTGACCTCTCTGCTTCATCTTTTCCAAGCAGTGGATGAGCAGTGTGCCGTGGGCCGAAGGAAGAGGGCCTTCATGAGCGGCTTCTATGTGCCTCGAAATGTCGTCTTTGGTCAAGCCTTCCCTGTCATTTCCCTCCTCAATCGCCTTCATGATCATCTGAAAGGAAAGCGAATCAAAAAAAACAAATTAGGGAACCTAAAAAAAAAAAAAAGGAAATTGAAATTGAAATCAGTTGAAGAGAAGCCAAAAAAGGGAGGATAAATCGTGGGATTTAGGCACCTGAGGATAGTCTGGGATCGAGGGGTTAGATTGCTCGTAAGCCGATTGGGAAGCCATGAAAGTGACGAGATCGGAGGGAGAAGAAACGGTTGTTGGCGCTTTTAAAAAAAGGAAGGAGAGAAAAATGTGATGATGCGGTATGGAGAGTTGTGCGAGAGGCGGAGAGATTTTAAAAGAGAAGAAGCCGAGAGGGTAAAGGGCAGATCCGACGGTGAGGAAGGGACTACTGGATGGAATTGGACGGTGCGCAAGAGGATTGATAAACGTCTCGAGGATCGTTGACGTGGCTGTGCTTCCTTATCAGATTAGGGTGTATATAACTTCTGAGCGCGTGGATTTACATTTTTAACCCCATCCTTTGTTTTAATTTC